CTATATCCAGATCTCATTTTATCGACATAGGTATCTTGTTTTTAAGAGATAGATCTTAACAGACTTGCTTAGAGTAAAAATTTTAAGAAGTTATTTTCTACATGTAAGGCATTTTCTGTCAAAAATGATATGTGCATTTAATTACTATAATTATTATTATTATTATTTAAAGTGTTGAATTAGTCTAGTATAAAAGGTATGAATGGACTTTTCATGGAACAACATTAACTTGGAAACATTCTACAAAATTACTTAACATAACTAATAGATAACATTTCGTATGATGCACGATAGAGAGCGCTATTTATGCAATAGTGAAAATCAGACCTGAAAAAAATCAGGCCTGTATGGGATTCGAACCACTGACCTCTGCAATACTAGTGCAGTGCTCTACCAATTGAGCTAACAAGCCAACTGGGAGCAGGCCATTAAGTTGAGCAGGCCATTGAGTTATCTATAACCGCAGTTCAAAATATATGAACTTCATATATTCATCATATCAGATAACATTTCCTAAAAACCTAGAAAATGATAGACACCAGAAATATCTTTGATGTTTTGTTTTCCTAGCAATAAACCAATCAGACATAAGAAAACTAAAACACAAACAGCATTTAATTTAGTAGCAACAGGAATGATCACGAATTCAAGAAGCTCCTGATTGTTAAACAAATTCTCCTAGTCAGCACCATAGGGAAAGAATAAATAACAGTTTGGAGAATATGAATACTGATGTCAGGGTATAGTGGGTTTATGGTTTTCCAGGTGTCACAGTGTGTTTCAATTTATCATTTTAACAGCTTATAAAGAATCTACCGCAGCTGCAACAACTCAACCTCAGTGGATGTAGAGAAACTCTAACTGATGACTGTATGCGATGACTTATTGTACACTAATTGATAAATAGATTCAATGTTACCATGCATTTGTTCAGTAATAGATCATAGACATCAGAATGTGGTAAGAACAGCAAAGTGCCACACAAGGCACAGCTAATTTTTTCACTTCTGTTCTTGTCAAATTTTGATGACTTCTATTACTGTACAGACCTATGGCAACATAGAATCTATTTGTTCTGTATGACAACAAAGTAAATGTTTATGGTGATGTCATCCATGAGTCTGTCCTCCAATAGATCACGAGTCAGAACCCTACAAAATGCATGTGTATGCCTGTGTATGCATGTGTATGCAAGCCATGTGTATGCCTGTGTAAGCATGTGTATGGCTGTGTATGTATGTGTATCCTTGTGTGTGGTTGTGTATCCATGTGTATGCAGGTGTATTACAGCCTTAAGGGTTAGTAGTTGTAAAACAAGCATTTCTCATCATTCTTTCGCATCTCAAAGACTGGAACAAAGAGGTCTTGACCGCCAACATTTCTTCATGGGTTTCCTTAATAATGATAATAATGATAATAATAATAAAGCATTTATATAGCGCTAAGCTTGACTAGTTCTCCGTAGCGCTTTACAAAATTTTAGACTAATTAACGTAGCAATTAAATTATAAAAAATCGTAGATTAAAAAGCGTCTTTGAACAAGTATGTAAATAACCCTTGAACTCCCAAGATCTGATTGTAAATTCTCCCCTCTAGCTGCTACATGTTTCCTTGTAAATTAGTTACAAGAATTTGGTGCTAGATCAAGGTAGCAACTTCTTCCTGATTAGTTTGAATATTCTCATTACCTGTTTGCTGGATAATGTATGGATATCATAGGGAGAAGTTACTTGTTAATCACTTCTGGGAGTTAGAGGGTTAAAGTTTCTGTATTCCTAACACCACTCTCATCTCTTGTGTCGATAGGTATCAAACAGCTTGTTAAATCATGTCCTCAATTAACTCACTTGGATCTGAGGTAAGAATGCCTGGATGTAATGATCACTTACATAAAAAAAATAAAGTTGAAGATATCATGTTGTATTTTGTTACTGGTTTAACGGGATTTAGAAGTTGTGTATTCCTTTGGCTTATTTCTGGCTTTGCTTAACGCTTTGAATCCTGAGAGTGACCAGCATCTAATTTCCCCTTACAGTAATAATTCTGAATTATTATTTAAGATCATGAGAATAAAGAGAATGATCACCAACCTTGGAAGTTTTGATTGTCAAACAAATTCTCTTTGTCAGTACCAAAGGAAATGTACAGACAAGGCTGTGGTCGTCTAGCAGTGCCTGGTGGCCCCTGGAGCCTTTCTTTTGCTCTTGGGCGACTCAGGAATTTTAGTTTTTTTCATACAAAGCATATGCTGGGCACCCTGGATTTCACAGTTTCAAAGCACTAGGCTCTATTCAATTTTCCTTAGAGCACAGCCTTGACCATCCTCGAGACCCAGGGGCTGTGGGTCGATTTCAAGTTAGGGCGTGAAGAGCCCCTGGGGACATTGTCTTACAAGACAAGTTCCAAACGGTCGCATTCGTTCTGCCATCTGATTGGTGCCAGAAAATCTTTGTATTTTTCTGCCCAATCAGAGTGAAGTGTTCTTTAGAGTCCTTTCNCATAATGTCCGTGTTAAAACACACGAAAGGACTCTAAAGAACACTTCACTCTGATTGGGCAGAAAAATACAAAGATTTTCTGGCACCAATCAGATGGCAGAACGACTGCGACCGTTTGGAACTTGTCTTGTAAGACAATGTCCCCAGGGGCTCTTCATGCCCTAACTTGAAATCGAGTCAGCCCCTGGGTCTCCGAGGATGAGCCTTGACAGAGTAGGGTATGGAGAATTTGGAAACTGACGTAAGGATGTAAAGGGTAAAGCAAAGCCTGGGTGACTAAGACAACTAAGTTTGTATAACTTTGGGTAGATAATATAACTAAGCTTATCAAGGCTTCTGAGAGTTGGCCACCCCAGATTCTTGAGACAAGAGCTTTCTCATTTGGGCATAAGATTGTAAGGATAATTTTTCAACTCCTGCCATATTGATCATCTTTCTAATGCTAATTCAGAAGCAACTTTAAGAAATAAAAATTGAATCCAAGCATAAGGAATATACCCAAATTATAATTTGGTAAGTCTGATGGAAAGGTCAAATTTTCATTACTTGTTAGAATGATTATTAAATATTTCGTAACTTAATAGTCTGATAATTTATCTTTTCAGTGATGGAGTGCTGTTAACAACTCAATCTCTAGAAGCAATTCTCAAATTAAAGCACTTGGTTTGGTTGGGTGTCAGCAGATGTTACAGTCTTCCACCAGTTTCCTTCAGGTAACAAATGGAATCAATTGTTGTAACAATTAGAACAAGCACTATTAAAATATAGTAATTTGGTAATATTAACTGAGTTGAAATTGTAAATTGGCCACCGTAAAGAGTTAAAGAGCTGAAATTTTGAGCGTTAGCCCATCATCATTTGCTCTGACAAAGGGCTAACGCTTGAAACGTCAGCTTTTTAACTCTTTACGGTGGCCAATTTACAATTTCAACGTAGTTGATATTATCAAATTACCTAGTTACCCCCACCGACGCAGCACCACAGTTTCTTTAGAAACTTACCCCCTTTATTCACTATTAACATATGTTGAGTGGGCTAAATACTGGTAATTTCTTTGTTGTTATTTATTTAGTTTTTGATAAGTGTTGCAGAACAATTTTTTTGCCTATCATTGACAGATCCTACCCTTGTTTTCAGATGGGATGCAAGTTCATGGCAGCTTATTCCCCACTCTCCCATCCCCTGGCTGCAGCATTTTGTCAATTTTGTTATTGCATCTTCTTATGACAAACACTTTTATGTAAACTCTTTCCAACCCAACCTACATATAAATACTGAAACTGAAAAAATTTTAAAACTGGCTGCCTGGAATAACCATCAGGGCTTGCAATCAACTGTCTTCTTGATAAAGAGAGAAAGTTTCTTTGGGAACTGTGGTGTTGCTGAGTAGGGGGTGTTGCAAGAAAATTTGGTTACATTACCTTAGTTGATAATGTAAATTGGCCACCATAAAGAGTTTTGAGAATTACCCTTTCCTCATTTGCTCTGACAAAGGGCTAACGCTCAAAATGTCAGCTTTAGAAACTCTTTATAGTGGCCAATTTCCATTATCAAGTCTGGTATAAAACCGAAAAAAACCTTCAATATGTACCAGTAATTATGCTAACTTTTTCTCTTTTCCCTTCAGCTTATTTACCAAGTTGAAATCACTCAAAACTTTACAGCTCTTTGGTCTTCTGAACACAGAAGGTGTAGAAGTACTGAAAGCTGATCTTCCTAATGTAAACGTGAACAAGTCATTTTTCTCCTGTATTGCAAGGCCAGTTGGGTCCAGGTACTCAGGAAAAATATGGGAAGTCCTGTGTAAGGATTAATGCTTATTAATTATTTTCAATTGAGTTACCAAATCTCCTTGAGATGTTCTTACACTTTTTGAGATTATTAATGGAGAATTTGATTTTTAAATTTAAAAAAATATTTCTCCTCTTTAAATTTTTGGACGGTGGTTAATGATTGCAATCAATCCCTTTGGTTTTAATGTACACTTTTCAAAGGAATATCACTTTTTCAGGCCTGAAGGCTTCGACATTTTTTTAAAGTAGTTTCAATTCAAGGAATATTATAATTTTGGTTTTGTCAAAAAGGGAACTGAAATTGCAAGACAATATTTTTTTTATTTTAATTAAAAATCAAAAATTGTTTAAAATATATTTTTTAATTCCAGCAATTTCAGATGTAGTTGATCTCAAAGGGAGGAAAAATTGTGTTAATTTGAATTTGAAATATTATGCAAGTCAGACTTGACACAAATTTTTAAAATTTGCACAGTTTTTCAATCAAGAAATTAACTGTTAAATTTTTGGAAAATACTTTAAGTAATTATATTTTATCTTACATCAGTACAGTGTATGTCTTTATTGGCAAACTTTGGATTGAATTTGAGTTCATTGATCAGCTGTTCAGATTTCGGTGTATTTATGAATAACCCTTTAACTCCCAGGTTCTGATTGGCAATTCTCCCTCTAGCTGCCACACATTTCCTTGTAAATTAGTCAGGAGAATTTGGTGTTAAATCAAGATAACAACTTCTATCTGATAAGTTTAAGTATCCTCATTACCTGTTTGCTGGATAATGTATGGGTATATAGGGAGAAGTTACTGGTGAATCACTTCTGGGAATTGACAGTGATCCAATTCACAACCATTTCCATGGTGACTATCCCATGTTGTGGTGCACACAGAAATAGGCCTTATCAAAACACATCCAAATCCTGCCCAATTGATAACATTTCAATTATTTTTATTCCAAGGTCTCTTAATGTTCAATGCTTCCTAAGGTTTAGTAATAAATACAATAAGTCATGTTACAAATACATTAGCCCATAAATTTTTGTTAGGGTAGAGTAGCCCAAGTATCAACGCACCTTTGATTGTTGTTAGAAGTAATCCATGTTCTAGTTTAAAAATTGGATACCAGTTAGCAATGGTTTGCTTCCATCTAATGTTGAATTAAAACTACAATGACTTTTTAGGAAACTGCTTTTCAACTATTTCTATCTTACTAAATAAATACCCTAAAATGGTATGAAAAGCCAAGCTCTTACAATTTGAGCTGCATTCTTCAAAACTCACTTAAGCTCACTGAAGGTTAGCCAAGAGTTTTTTTAATTTATTTTTGTAGCTTTGCACCAAACAGTTTTGATTGTTTATATTTTTCCTTCAGTTTTGTTGTACCCTTGGGTAATATCCCTCAAAATGTAAGCCCCTTATTTCATGAGAAATCACCAACAGGTTATTAAGCTTTTAATTCGGGATTATCACTGACTTCATTTCAAACAACCAGGCCCAGGGCTAGAGAAAACAAAACCCAAAATGCACCTCATCCCCAAGAATTGGAGTGAAATGAAACTTGCATGGAGTTGTTCTAATTGGTCAGTTAAGCTACACAAGTTACTTCTTTGGGACAGAAATACATTTGCCCCAGACAACTGAATTATGATTTTTCAAGTTTGGAAAAATATTGGTTAAGATCTTTTAACTCTTAAATCCTTGTGATAAGGCTATAACATCACAAATTTGATAAACAAAAATTACAAATGATGGAAAACACATTGAAATTCAACACTCGGACCCCTATAACTTGAACTAATTTTTGTTTCCCTTCAGAGTTTAAGTCAACAGTAATTGAAAACTTATCATTAATTCTTGTTTCAATTATTGAACCACAAGTGTAATTTGAATCAAGTCAAGGCTAAGCTGTTCAAAACATGATAAGTATTGTTTTAGGTGAGACCCCTGACCCAGAACATATATTTAGCTTGCTTTGAACAACTTTTCCCAGAAGAATAATTCATCAACACAAATAATTAAAGAAATAATAGAGCTCAAGAAAAGGAAAATGTTTTGTTGACTCTACTGATGATGCTTACTTTCTGGAAGTCGACTCTTGCATAACTGGGAGGAAAATGTCACTCTCATTCACAACTTTCAAGTTCACAAAGACAAGATAGAGTATGTCTAAAAACTTCTTCATTATAAATCATCAAAGATATTCTTTGGTGCTCGACTAGAGGAGGAAATTCCATAACTTGAGGCACCTCCATAACTGGATTCTGAACTGTTGATATCATAGTCTGCAGTTGACAGCAATTCTACACGATCACTTTCAGGGTCAAACCTTGAATACCTTGCATACTTTCCATCCGATGCGGTTAAGTTTGTACTGGAATTGGCAAGGTCCCTGTTTGAGAGTCTTCCGCCTTCGCGATCCGATTTACGAGTGGATAGTTTTCTCTTTGCTGACTCAGCTCTCTCTGACCAAGTTTCCTAGGAAAACAAAAAACATTGATAGTAGTTTATCACTGTTATGATCATAGAATCGCTTTCCCTTACGTATCAATTCTAAGGACTCCTCACAATTAAACTTGAAAGGTTTGAACTTAATATGCAATTCCTCCTGCATAAATTTCCCAACAAAAAGAGACTTGCAAAGAAAAAGGTGGACAACTGTATCTAACCTTTCTACTGCCATCTTCTGTCAGCATTTCTCTCTTTCTTCTCTCTGAAAACAAAAACAGGCTGATTGGTTTGTTCACAAACTTGGCAGCTATGCCTATGAACAGAATTAAATTCTGGTGGTAACCACAAGCTGAGTAAACTATGAAGCCTAAGAACAAGATTCTCTTAGATTCTCCTTACAAACTGCCATCTATTTCTTTGTTTTTTCCGAGGAGAATTAAATATTTTATTGAAATGCAATAAAGGCTCACTTCAACACACCACTACAATTCTCAACTTTTAAAGGCATAGACACTTGTGTGAAAATGAAATCTAATAGTGCCCCAACCTTGCAACAGTTTGAATTACAGAATGATGTAACCAAAGTAAGGTATACCTCTTCGTGCTATATCCTTTCCTTCACTGACATACTCTGCTGACAAATCATCTTCAATGATAAAAGTTTGGAAACCAAGACAGTTCAGACATCTGGTACCCAGGCTAAAGTATGTAGTCAGACACACCAACACAACACACATTGGGTAGTACATGTTGACTCCTTTGGAAATTAATGACAACACATCCATGTGACCCATGAACTGTAAAACAAAGAGAAGAGTATGTAACAGGGGGCTAACCCTTAAACCACAAAGAGTTACGATCGTCTAACTTCTCCTTACAATATCACCCCTGAATCGAACATTAAGGTCTTGAGAATAAAGGAAATGATCACCAGAGAACCTCTGGATTTTTAAGCAATTTCTCTCTATCAGAACCTTGTAAATTGTGTAGAAACTACGGAGAAATTGCATACTGATGTTGGGTGATGAGATTTTCAATTGATGTTTTCAAGGTTGCTTCAGCCTTCCCTACAAGTATGTTTTGGTGAACATGCACCTTACAATAGGGACTTTAAGGAAACCACGATGGCTACGGCAACGAGAACGTGGAAAAACAATAGATCTAATTGGCAGAACAATAACCCAGCACATGCGTTTTAAAACTTTGTACATTTCTTAGCCGTCCTTTCAAAACAACGTGAAATCACCAAAATTTGTGTTGTCTGCGAAGTGAAACCGCAGCGGCAAATTATTTTAATTTACATATTTTGGAACTCAATGCTACTTTTATGCATTATGTTGAGTTTGAAGTCTGGCGCCCTATGAGATGGTAAACACATTCAGCCATTTTTGAAATTCTAACTAAAAGTAGAAACTCATTTTTTAATTGACATCTTCCGTGGCATTGCCATCTTGACTGCTTAGAGTCCCTGATGTTCTACACCTGTCATCTCAAATTTGCCATTGGAAAAAAAGGGCAAAGACAGAAATCTTAGTCAGGACCCTTCCCCTCACAACTGTTATCTAAGTCTCTCAAGAGTTGGCTATGATGATCCACACTCAAAATCTAAGGAGTCCTCACCATGAATTGTGTTGCTGTACGCAGTTTTATTTCATTTAAAATTCAAAAACTTTGAAGAGTTGAGTTTAGAGTTGGAGACGCCCCCCTCCCTAGCCCAACCAGTTGCCCACCCCACCCCACAACTTGGTGAGTTGTTACACATAACAGATGTGTCATCCTTACTATAGTAAAGGAAGTTTCCACTGGTTCTGCTTCCCTAGTCACATGGCCATCAAGATGAATAACAGCAAGAAAGTTAAGACATAAAGCATAAGTCAGCCGGCAGAGGAGTCTGTAAAGAAAAAACAGCTGATGTATGAAGATTTTGTGCTAAATCCAAGTAAAATTCATGCTGTCTTTTACAGTCTATGATAACTCTTACTGATCAATGCTTGTCTAGTCAAGTGCTGTTTTGCCTCAACTTAAAATGTCCTTATCTTTGATCAAAGGACCTGGATAAATTAACATTACATTGAAAGGTAAAATTGAATACTCTCTAACTTGATGTCCCTTTTTTAAATATTGGTCCTGAAAGATTCAAATACACTCTTCAGTAGGTGAAAAAGAAGAAAATAATAAAATAAACTGCTTGGGAAGTATTCATCAAATAATACATCTACACACTTGAATATCAAAGCATTGATAACCTTTTCACCCCCAAGTTCACAATTATAACAATTCTACTCCCTGCATGTCATACATTTCTTTTCATGCTCACTCTGAGAATTTGGTACTAACAGTAACTGTAAAGCAACACTCCTTCATTGTTTTGTTTCTTTTGTCTTTAAGTTAACAATTTTTCTGCTTTAAATACATAATTATTGATGTTGGGGGAGAAATTTCTTTTCCATCACTCTTATGAGTGACTTGAATAAACTGACCCCTTGTTTTACTTACAATCCACTAAAGAGCAAGCTGTTTGGATCTGTCTGATGCTTTGGTGCAAAGTAGTAATAGTTGAAGAACCTCATTCTGAATACAGTGTAGTACACACAAACACACATGTATGAAATGATTATACACGATATAACCTGCAACAGAAAAAAAAAAGGTTCTTTAGTTGCGATAATTTCATTAATTTATTCTCATAACCTTCTTGGAATTCAGGGGGGTGTTGTTAGGAGAAATTAAATGCTAATCACCCAAGGGTCAAAGGGTTAATGATTATATATTTTATTATTTCTTAGCAAGGGGGCTTGTAAGTGGGTTGGGTTTCAATTTTGTCTGTTTGTAAGGGATAACGAAAGGTAAATTACCTAGTAGGGGACAACCTTGTCCTATTGTAAATTTACCTGCCTTTAGCAAATTGTTAGACAAATAATAAATAAATAAATAAATAAAACAATACTTTTTAGCCTTGAAGTTTGCTTTTGTGTGCTGAACTTTGTAGTGATTGATAAATAAACAATTGACTAATTGGAACCGAAACAGTGTTCATGTTTTCCTGAATTCCACAGTAAATAAAGAAAAGACAAATTAAAGAACATTTCATCTTGGCATTTGCAACTTTTTTCAAAATAAACCCACCTCTACGTAGAAATAATAATATCCTTTACTAGCACTGCGTATCATCTGTGCAAATATTGACAAAACTGGTTGGACATTGAAGAATGTCACCTCTGACCACACCAGAGTCACAGACAACAAGAACAGAAGAATTGCTGTGATGCGCAGTAACCATGGACATAACCAAACACGCCAATACCACTCTAAAATGATGTGTAAAATAGGTAAAACTTCCATGAAAAGTATCTTTCAATTTTCTGCAAATCCTGAGGTTTCTAAATACCAGATATCAAGGTTAAATTTTTTTTTTCAAGGATAAAGAATAAGAAAAGTCACTGTTAGGCATTTTCAACTTAATTTCATGCAAACTTTAAGGGGGTGGATCACATTTACATACCCAGAACTGGCCTAATTCCTGTGGAGGGCCCTTTTAGAGATGATTTGTAATGTCTGGAAAGAAAAAAAAAGTAAATTAAGACATCTTTTAAAAATCCCAAAGAATAGATTGACATGTTTGCAACTGGGGATAGACAAAGGTGAAATGCTACTAACATGTTTTATAACATAACCAAAGTAAAGCGCGCGCTCTGATTGGTCAATTGAGCCTCCCCCATTTGCCCATGGGTGTACACTGCTGACGTGAGCAAATGCAAAGACTGTTTTTTCCGCGCGCGCTTGTTTTTTCTGGTCACGTAAGATTTGTTAAATAAAAGGGAACTCTTTAGCTACAATGTATCAATGTTATGTTATAAAACAAATGGTAAACACCACAGCGTACACTATTGAGTTATGGATGCACTTGGGAGGTTTGCAAAGCACTCAAGAAGCTAGAGTCGCTCTCGGCTATCGCCTCAAGCAACACTTACGCTTCTTTCGTGCTTAGCAACCTCCTGCATGCATCCATACCTCAATAGTGTACACTGTGGTGTTTACCATTTGTTAATTGATGGAGCAATATAGAAAGTTCATCACACCTCAACACCATAATTTTCACACTTCAATTTTAACATTTCAGGGCCGCCACATTTTCATATTCACACCCTTTAGATCACACTGAGTCAGCCCTTTTACTCCATCGCAAATCTGAATATCAACTCTTGCCACTGTCTAATATACATCTGCAACTTGCTCTTAAATCAGTATACCCTATTTTACATTTTTCTTTCTTTCCATTACCTTGTCTTTCAAAGTATGTATTAACATTGCTAGGAAAATTCCAATTTGGTGATCACCCTTACAGGTCAAAGGATTCATGAGACAGGAAGAACACAACTAGTAATAGCACACGAAACTTAAAAGAACACTAGAGTTAGACAAAGCTTAAAACACACCCCTTTAAAGTAAACTAATGCCCTGACTTTCACTTGTTCCAGACTAATTCTCTTAGCCTTCTTCCCCCTCACAATGAGGTGATGACCCTTTAAGTTTTTCAATAACAGTAGCTGTACACACCTATCACTGCTACCAGCATTCCGGGATAAATCTTCCAGCTCAAACACCTTTTCAAGCTGCATGTTCCACTGACTAAAATTGGAAAACAAGACAACACCATTATCAGGCTTTATAATTATGTTCTTAACAAAAATTTAAAATGTAACTCTCAATTTGATTGATACAAGAGCAATGTATAATAGCCACAATTATCTTCTCACCAATGTGTGCGTCTTGAAGTGTGAGTGACAATTATTCCCCTCTTGTGAAGTTTTACCAAGCTTTTCTCAGTGTGTGTCTCGGTGATTTTACTTCCAGTCTCCTTAAGATAGTCCTCATAATCAACATAGTCATCAGTCCCTCTGTTGAAGCCTGACTCCTCTGGGAACTATGCCATGAATAATCAATCAATTAACCTTTACACTCTAACATCAGCATACATATTTCTCCATACTGTTCTCTACACATTTCCTATAGTGCTGACAAGTAGAATTTATTTTTTAATCCAGAGCTTCTTTATTTGATCATTTTCTTTATTCTCCTGACCTTAATGTGTGATTCAGAGGTGATATTGTAAGGAGAAATTACATGCTGGTCACTCTTACGGGCAAAGGGTTAATTCAGAAATGTGTTAACACACTAGATTCCAAGTTGTAAGGTGCTGATTTCAGCCCTGGCTGGGTCACTCTGTTTTGTTCTTGGGAAATATATTTTACTCTCAAACTCTCTTGGGATTATAAGTGGTTACAGGCAAACTGCAGGGGGGAGGGGGGTGAGGGGAGGGGAAGACCTAGCATCCCATCCAGGAAGAGTGGCAATAGTCTCATTTCAATGCTCACTTTATGCCAAATAATAACCCTTTAGCTCCCCTGATCTTATCATTAATTTTCCCCTTTAGCTGCTACACATTTCCTTGTAAATGAGTTACAAGAATTTGGTATCAGATCAAGATAACAACTTCTATCTTAACTGTGACATGTTAATCTTTTTCCTGAGTTTAAGGGTTAAACTGGGATAAATTGTAATAATGTAATAATGTAATAATTTATTTACTCTCATGAATGACTTGGGAAGTGGTCTTCCAATCTTTCAAGCAACAAGGCTCAATTATAACTCTGACTAGCAGTGTGAGCCAGTAAGGTTCAATTTACCTTCTTAATAATAACTTCAAGGTACTTTCTAAGTGGGTGCCTGTAACGTATGGCTTCAGATGCCCGATGTACTTCCTATAAAAAGATTAGTCAAATCTCAGTTATGACAAAGTAAAAAACACAACCAACAATTTTGGATACTATCATCATTCTATTTCAAAGAATATCTCTTCTCTCCTTTTAACCATTTTACCAGTACTCCCAATATATCAATAGTAATTCTTTTTACTATCTGCTATATAATTCTTTTGATGTTAGTTCTGAGAATTCGATATTCGATCAAGTGATAGCCCACCAATGAATATTTTCTTTATTCTCATCATTTGTCTGTTTGATTTAGTATCAATATTGTGAGGAGAAATTCTGTCGTAGTCACTCGTGGGAGTTGAAGAGTTAATGAAATTGGAAGGTTCTTAAGAGACCATAAACGTTGATATTGGTTTTAATAAGGCTGACAAGCAGTTCTGGCTACCTCTACGACTTCTGAAAACTGTTCATCAGCCTCTTCTTTCTCAACACTCAGCTTCGAGATCTTGAAATATGCATGAGCCATCTGTAACTCCAGCCTGGCAGTATTCCATGTGGTGCGTGGCACTTCAACCAATCCATAACCCATCAGAAACACAAGCAGAAGCAGCCCCCAAGTGTTAGATGCAGTGATGCCAAGAATTTTGAGATTTGCTCTGGTTTGAGAAACAATAAAATAACAGGCTCAATTTAAAATAGATCATTTCACCCAAAAATCTCTGACTAAATTTAAATGGCCTGTGTTATTTCCTATTCAGACAGAGAAAATGTTCTCCATTATTTTACACCATTATCCTGATGAATCTGATATCTCTACATGAAAAACCTGTTGTTCAGCTAAAAAGCCTTATAACATATAATACAAAGGTGCATGCAAAACTACTCCAACAACTAGAAGTGTGAGAATTGCTAATGTATTTGATAGGATGGTCATCACAATTATCCAAAATTCTTGTTTAATGCCATCTTGGATGGTAACTGAGAATGTTTCAACTGAGATAGTTGTTTCTTCCTATTCCTAGAGAATAATCGTTTACATAATTTACAACATTTCTCTTTACCAACCCAAACAGCCAGCCACCCAAATATCACATTAGTAGAACAGGAACGTCTTCATAAAAAGAGGACAATACTCACCCATCTAAATGAATATCAGGTTTCACGATGACATACACCAGAAGGATACCAAAAATGATCAAATAACTGCCATACCACAATGCATTCTCATACAGCGCAGTTTTGATTTTCCCACGTACAGTGAAATCTCCAGCGTAGGAGTATGACTGCATTATGGGTAGGATAAGCCTAAGCACCAGTGAAAAAATATCTAGATTTAAAGTTTGTGTCACCTATAACTCTGCCTGCATGCTACACATTCTTATTATCCACACTAGTTCAGTGCGCAAACATATATTAAGCCTTTGCATTCTAACATCTTCTCGGATAGGGACGAATAAATGGAGGTCCCGTCTCCTGTAGGGTTAGGGGCAGGAGACGTTAATTTCCCACGCAAGAGATTACTGTGTGATGGATGTCCTCCCTGGGGTGGGATGGGTGGGTTTACCGGGCCTGCAATAATTGATGCAAGCTGTTGCGGTGTCCCTACCAGTCAGCGAAGCTAAATAAATCTAAATCTAAATCTAAACATCAGTATTCATATTTCCCATACTAGGGTGCTGACAAGGAGAATTTGTTGAACAATCGCGAGCTGTTTAGTTAGTGATCATTTCCTTTATTCTCCTGACCTTGCTTTATGATTCAGGGTTGATAGAGAAAGGAGACATTAGATACCAGTCACTTGTAGGGGTCAAAGAGTTCAACTACTGCATAGCAAATGCTGTAAAACCCTAGGTTCAGATGTAAGCCTGCATTCATCCAAATATGAAGTAATCAAGAAGTTTGGAGAGCACTCAAGAAGCTAGAGTTGCTTTGACCCCCACCTCAAGCAACTCAAATACACCTATCATGTCATACTTTTAAATCTTCTCAATTCTTCAGATCTCAATGAAAGCAGGCTACTGCATGAACCAATGGCTTGTTACAGATAATCTAAGGCATGATAGATGTGGTGGCTTTTCCAAAATGGACAACAGCTACATAATAAAATAGAGAAAAAAACACCAACCAAACAGTGATACATGAGAAGACAAATGGGCATAATTGTCTGATGTTCTCTGCATCTTGGATACATTTTGGTTGAATAAATCTTTAAGCAAATTCAATCATCAATTCTGCTCACAGTTTTCACTGGGTAACAAGAGTTATTATCCTTTAGAAAACCATGTAATTAGAAGCAAAATTTAAAACAATTGCACAAAGAAATCGGTAAAAATAAACAGATCCAAACTAAAGGTGTTTTGGAGTACAGGTGCAAAGCTTACAGAAAAAGCTTCAAAGCATACCCACTTAAGTTATGAAATTTGTTCCCAACAATTTGATTAAGAAAGCATATAAATAAATCCACTGATCTCTACTGCAAACTCAGTCTCGTCACCGACTGCAACGTACAAATCCAGAGTATCTGCACTCATCAATTATTATTCATTCATGCGCGATGTTTTTTAATTGTTGTCTAGTCCTTGAACTCACCATGAAAGTATCTGGGAAGACCAATATACAACCCGCCAAAGATCAGGAAGGACGTGTTCTGGTAAATAACTCCATGGCTCCTCACAGTTACTTGACGGACTCGTCTTGTTGGAGTTCTTAATGGAGCCATTTGTTGACGGGTTTGAACCAAGATCTCCCTTCAGATTATTGATGTTTGATTTGGCTTCATACAAACATTTCCTATAAAATGTCTGAATCGTGCACAAAATGGTAAATTGTAAGTCTAGAATCTGATCTTCCTGCTTATGTAGAACGTTTGTTTTTGACATTATAAACAGAGTAATTTTAAGTAAAATCCACTTAAAATAAAATCAACAAGATTTGGCGTTTCATAACAAGAATTATCATATGAGCCATCGTTTTAAGCCTATATCACGAAGGTGGCCCTTTATATTCAAGGAAAATATTTAAACTTACCCCTGATACGTCTAAAGGAAGGATAAAGACGATCAGAAACGAGAAATACCAAGAAACAAAAACTGCGGTTGTGACAAGCCAATGTTGCTTTCGCCAGTTTCCATACTGGTGAAGAAGACATAGGGTCAGAAGGAACACAAAGATCATTTCTACTGTAAACGGAGCAGCATTCATCTTAAACTAGCTTGGTTCCCAAACGAACTGAGTTTTTATCCTTTAGTAATAAATCTGCTACGAAAAAGTGGAAAAAAGTTTGATGATATGGCAGAAGTTCCTCAACTGACCGGTCGTAGCTGTCTTTTGAGGAAGCCTGGAAATTAGCAACTTTTTGCACAGGCTCGAGAGAGAGCCTGGGTAGGAGTGAAAGGATTTCAGATTAGTAATCCAAACAAGATGTTATCCTCATCTTTTCCATGACGACGTATTCAAACTTGTTCTCCATTGATTTCAAGAATGGCTATTATTTCGCCTTTTTATTGACGTCGCCGAGATATCGTTGAGATGTGGAATCAAAGTTGCAGAGAACCCAATGATTATCGGACTTACCACACGTCCCCGTTTTACAAGACAGTCATACAGGTAAAAAAAAAAAGGATAAGAAAGAAAGAATAAAAAAAAGATAAAAAAGTGAGAAAGTCATATTGCGCCACATGATGTGCCAGGTGTCTGTATTTCACTTGCAGTTTACAAACCTCTTTTATTCTTTCATTTTCTGGTTTTATTTTCTCTACGCCTTGCAGACCTATATAAGTTTTCCATTTCATGACACATTCAACCCTCTGAGTCTAAGAAAACGCGTATTTCATGAATTACACTTTTCAGTATAGAATATTATGGAGGTTCTAAGCTACTGGACTGAATTTTTAAGACAAAGGAACCTGGAAATTAATGAAAAATACCAGACAACGTGTTACTGTATAAGACGCCGAGAAACCATATTAATTGATTCATAAATTATTTAATCAGCTGATTAACCGATGTAAACCTATCTTATGCCACGTAAAATTAGGTTTGTACCTAACAATTTTAAAAAAATATATATCCTTTATCTGAGTTGAAGCTTTGATTCCTCTTTAATTAAGAGTTCGAACGTTGGATCGCAGTTTACGCTCACCAGGTCAGAAAAAGTGGATTTTTTTCTTCAAGCGGGAAGAGGTTCGAAAAAAATTTGCAATTGCACGAGGCAAAATTGTAATTCAGAAAAATAATTTTGAGAGACGACAAATATTTTTATAGAATACACCTGTTACAAGTGAACTTCTGTGAAACATGAGTTTCCAAACGTTTTCAATTCTCATAGTATTTTTCCTCGTAAAATTCGAGTTTTCCCTCTCGACGAAACATGGTTTAGTAGAAATCACTGCGAGTAATTATCAAAGTTTAGTGATTAACGGAGACAAAGATGCTTGGATTGTCGCTGTGAAAGGTGCAGGGAAAGTTTCAATGGATGAATGGAGGAAAACCGAACTTGATATGCGTGGATTGTCTGTTCGAGTCGGAATAATTGATCCTCACACAGATGGAGCATTTTTGAAGAGGAAGGTAAACTGTTCTTTACTTCTTGGACAAAGATAATAAGGGATTTTGCGCTTAACTCTTGCACTCTTAAGATCTAATTAGCAATTCTCCTTACTGTCTGCCATACAATTCTTATGATGTTAGTTCTGAGAATTTGGTATTGGATCAACTGATAATCTCCCAATTGATACGTTTTCTTATTCTCAACACTTACCTGCTTGATATTGTGCTGATATTGTAAGGAGAAATTCTTTCTTGATCAGTCAGGGGAGTTAAGATAAAGATGTATCCCTGCGGATAATGCCTTATGTGCCTTGAAGAAATCAACGTGTCGTGCTGTTAGTGTTAATCGTACTGTTTACACATTTCATGAGGTGGTTACGAAAACGTCTGTTTTTCACTTCAGGGTTTCCTCCAGAAAGACAAAAAATATCCAGTGGCTCGTGTTTTTCCTTACGGTGGTTACAAAATAAAAGAAACGGGAAAAAAAGATGTGAAATCTCGATTAGAAGCCGAAACTGAGGCGCTGGAAAGTCTTCCAGATGAAACAACCAAGGTTTCAACAATGGAGGAACTACAGCAGTGTGTGCGAAGAGGATACGCAGCCAAACCCCTCAAAATGCCAGTTTTACTGCTAACAGGTAACATATTTTCCAGTACTGGGATCAGGCAACCTCGTTCACAGGGCCTTTTCTCTTAGTTGGGGTTGGAGCAGGAAAAGGCCCTGGGAACGAGGCTGAGGAGGAGGGAAGTAGTGTCCAATCACTTTTTCTTGTCAAAGAGGGAATGAGGGGGTGGTATGCTCTCTTTGTTCCCAACTCTTCTCTCGTTAAAAGAGATCTTAATCTTTTGCTAGCTATTAACACCACTGGTTACCGTTTCATTTTTGTAGAAAATTGAAATATATGTTGGCCTTATACATGTACTGTCCGCGCGAGTGCTGGTTTTGATCAAGAGAATATCTTCCTTTGCTATAATAAAACAATGGATATTGTATTCGCGGGCATAAATATGTTTTGAGCCCGACTCGGACTCATTTTAGCCCGAGCCGGTAGGCTATTTAAATCACTCTGGAAAGCATTGGGGAAATAACAACTGAGAAAAATAACAACAGAACAGTCTGAAAATTCACGAGAGCATTCAAGCGGGCTGAAATAAATTTAGCCCGCAAAATGCTCCGCAATGCCCGACACCGCAGGATTCATATGTAAGGCGCTTGACTGTCATGGTGCCACGTTCCCAACAGAGGCAGACAAGGATAACAGCGAAAAGTCATAAAGTTAGGTGTTTTGATCCACTCTCGTTTTCTTTTTCTGTTTTCAGACAAAAGCATCACATCACCCCTTTTCCGTGCTATTGCCCTCAAATATTCTAAATATTTCAACTTTGTTGTCCTCCACAAGCCGAGTCAAGATGTGTTGCACAATTTCCAACTAAGACAGATTCCAGCAATTCTGGTCATGATTGCAACACAAAGTGAAGACAAGAATATAGTCAGATTTAGCTCAGTGATCTACGACCCCAAGGAATATGGTGGAATATCCTACCTTAATTTGACGAGATTTTTCTTCTCTGTCCATGAGAGGCACTGGCTAGATCACCCAGACGCGAAGAAATACAAAGGGAAAGTTGGCTTGAGGGAGTTCTTCATTGAAGACGTGAAGAACACACTGGGGGGAGAGTTTGAAAGTGACAGACGGGAAGATGAGAGTAAAGTGGCCAAAGAAATTACGTTCGAGAATCAAAACAGAATGTGTGCAGATTCTAATAGAGGCTTATGTCTAATCTACTTGGTGAATGGCAAGGACAAGAGAGGGGTCAGGAAAGCTTTGAAGTTTTTTAAAGATCTACAGAAACTGTCAAACGTCAAAGGTGAGAAAATGAGAATGAGATATACTCTTGAATTGCGCGGAAGGATTTTTTCCCCTCACTCCTTCCCGTCCCTATCCTCCCTCCCCTCCCCTCCCCCCATTACCCCCTCCCTCCCCTACCTCCTTTCCTTCCACTCACTCATGTTTCCTCCATTCCACTTGGTTGGAAGAGAATTGATTGAATGACATTTCGGCTGAAGTTGTTCTTCACGAGATTATTTACTTTACAAATCTTTCAGGTAAACCCATACACTATCTCTGGATCAACGGATCTTGCCATCCTGAATATGGTGAAATTTTTGGAATCTCTCCGCACAAGCTTCCAATGTTGCTGTTTGCAAAACCAATGCAGCGGTTGTTTAAAACTCTGAGTGGAAGCTTCAAAAAGGAAAAAGTCAGTGATATTATATGGAATATATTCCTCGACCGTGCGACGTTGTCACCTTTTTCACGGTTCAACGAAATTCTCCCTGTTGATTGCCAGAAAGGGGCATCTTCTGAGCGAGCTACGAAAGAGGAAAATCAAGATAAAAATATTAAATCAGGGGAGAAGAAAAAGAGCGAAAAGTAAGTCTAGTCTAGAATGTAGGCATCAAAGTAATTTCGAATTTCACTATCGTATCACCACGCACTCTGATTGGTCTGAAGAACTCGTGCCATTCTCTCGACCAAACATGTTTAAAAGTGGGACTTATCGCTGAACTTTAATTCTTACATACCTTTTAGTGCTCTTGGGGCTAACTGTCCTCTAATTTCATGACCATTCCCCCCCCTCCCCAGAAAGTACCACAGACACCACCGTCTCTACAGCGGGGTACCCATGGCCAACGTTTGCTTCCTAGGAATGATGGTGGGGCTGAAAAATGGAAAAAAAACTAGGGTGGGATTGTAAGAATAGGAGATGGTTGAAAATCAATGCAATTCATGTTTGTTTCGTTTATAGGAAAGCTTCAAGTAAAGGAAAGGATAAAAAGGCGAGCAAAACTACGAGAGTTGACGAACTCTGACTGAAAGAATCTTGTTTTTGTTCCGTTCTTAATGAAAATGATTTTGTAATTGGAAGATAGGGTTTAAACGTGATGGAGTGTTCGTTAATCTTTACTTAAGACCAGACTTAAGACTAAGTATTTTATTCTTGTCTCCAAATATCGTTCAGATTTTTTTCCTTATTTTGCGATTCACAAGACCTGATATTGTAAGAGACAAGTTGAAATAAAAATTACTGATCATCACAACTTTCTCATGGGCTCAAACAAAATACGACGCTCGTACAAAAAAAAATTTAAAGAAATATATAAACAACAAAAATAATAATAGTAATAGTACTAATAACAATGATAACCATAAAGGTTTCTTCAAATTCTTACTCTGAAACTTTATTCAACTTCCCATGTCATAAACATGGATATGTACAATAAATTATGCAACGATAGTAAATGAAACGGAACTCTGGCGGTACAAAAAAAAACTGTCCTCTCCTTGTGACAATGAAGTACACAAGAACAGCGTAAAAACTCACTTGTCACTCTATAATTTTGAATTACTTCGCAGTATTCAGTTAAATAAACAGCTTCAAGTAAAGATCAATATCCTTTCTATGAGCTCAGCTTTTGTAAAAATATCTGTAATTCCTCTGTTTCATTTCCGTTCTTCTTCATGTCTCCCTTCGTACAACACCAAGTATTCTGTTCCCTTAAAAATTATTTTCCATTTATTCATCGTTTCCACTTCTAAAATAGAGCGTCCATCGAAGTACTGCGATCCTCGCACGGTCTAAAACCGCTTGGAACGAATCCATAGCTGGTCGAACATCAAGGGCAACGAATTCTCCTCGCTTGTAAGCCTCTTCGTCTCCCACATCGTAGTAATCGATAATATATCGGACTTCCCGACCGCAGCGATCGACAACCCAGTCGTGGCGATCAAATGGAAGCTCGTAACTGGGAAAAAGATTTAAACATCAAGAGTTGGCGTATGCATTTGTGGAAATCAGATTTTCTATTCATAAGTATTATATATTTTTTCTCTCTACTTGTCAAGGGCTCTGGGTGTTACAAAGCTTTTAACTCTCAGAAGTTAATGAGACAACTTCAAGTAAACAGGACTTTAAAAAAAATGCTAAGCAAAATATTTAATATATAACACACAATTTTTTTTTTTGGCAAGGAAGGGATATGAAATCGTGTAGTAGGATCATCCAGGTGAGTGTAGACCAGAGAAGGACTGTTGTCAGCAGCAGTGACTGACATTTCAACAACCTGAGCAAAATTTATAATCAGAGTCAAGTGAAAAGTTGTTGTCAGTTGAATTTTCTTAGTTGGTCCGGTTTGTGTAAACTGATTGTTCATTTAAACCATAATGTTATCGGCTGTAAGATTCAAGCGGCCTAAGTCCATATTGATCACAACGGTTGTCAAAAAAATAGTCACTACCACCAACAACAGTCCTTCTTATGACTACACCCACCTGGACGATCAGACTACACAATAAAATGTCACCCCCCGGTTCAAACCATTTACAGGAAGGAACATGTAACAAATCCTACCCCAGCCAATTCCGTATTCTTGCTCTTGGAGAAAACTCTTTTGCCTTCCCTTTAAAACTGAGCAGTCTGGGTGTCCCACACTCACTGAAAAAAAAAAAAGTAATAATATTAATAATCTCTCAGTTACAACATGGGGAAGAGCCAATATTTAAGTTTCTATAGAAATGATTAGTTCTTCTACTCCCATAGGTGACCAAGACAGGATTTCTCCTTATGATATCAAATACAATATCAAGCAGACAAGTGATGAGAATAAAGAAAAACATCAAGAAGGGTCTTATTTGGATATTCAATACCAAATTCTCTGAACTAACATCATAAGGACTGTGTGGCAGACACTCAGGAGAGTTACTGATGAGATCTTGGGTGTGAAAGGGTCCACCCTTTCTCCCCTACAATTATTAAACAAAGTTTCCTTGTCAGTGCCATGAGAAATGGAAAGAGAAAAGTAGGAAGAATATGCATGCAGGCTCTCTGTTGTTCTACCACTGAGAATTGCATGGCAGACAGTGGGGAAATTTACTAATATGCTGTTGTGAGTAAATGTGAAAATGGAATTCAGCAGTAACACCCTAATGGGAAATGAGAGGCTAGTTACTCTTAGAGGTTAAGAATAATTAAAATCTTACTTTGCATGAAGTGCTTCCCATTTCAGTATTTCCTGCCATGCACTCTCATTGTTAGCATTGTGAATCCTGATGATGTTTGCCATATCATTGGCCTGTACTTCATCCTCCTGCCATTTCCAACCCTTGCGTAACATGGCATTCCAAAACATTTGCTGAGATGGATAGACCCAGTTCTCATCCTTGCCAGTGCCCCCTCTAGGGATGGAAGACACCTGGCGATTTATTGGCAGAGGAAAGGGCTGGCCTGAAGAGGGCTGTTGGTTTGGTGGTGGCATCTGCAAAGAGAGAAAATAATCCTTTATAGCTTAACATCAGTTAGCAAGTTCCCTATGCTGTTCTCTGTATGTTTCCTATGCTTCCTACGAAGAGAATGTTATCAATAACCAGGAACCTCTTGACCACATGATTATTGCCTTTACTCTCATGACCTTAATGTTTCATTCAGGGACAATCCTGTTGGAAGAAATTTGATGCTCATCACTCTAAAGAATACAAAAGAGTGCATGCAGGGGTCTAACAAGGATGTTTTAATGCAGGGTAAATTAGAGTTTTCAATACGGAATGTGGCAATTAAGAGGAAATAAAAGTAAAGCAACAAAAGAATATTTCCCATACATGAACCTTGCAAAATAACATGGTTGCCAGAAATAAAATTTTTGTTCACAAGAAAAGAAGATCAAGAAAGAATGAAAAAAAGTATGAAGACCAAAATATTGTACCAAAGTACAAAGTATTCTATCCAAATGCATATGGCACCACAGTTTAAGACCATAAACACTTTGTAATAGAAAAAAAAAAAAAAAAAAAACAGGTTGCAGCATGATCACCAAATACAGGTCACCAAATTCACTAATTCAGCATAAATTTGGGTACAAATTCAGACACCAATATTTTTCTTGAATATGCCAAGACAACCGAACCAATAATATGGAAGAGTATTAAAGAGTACTTACCATGTTACTTGGATCCAAGGCATCTGAACTATTATCAAGAGCAGCACTGTCACAGCCAGCTCCTCCGCTGATAGGACACTGGCTAGCTTGTACCTTTACATTGCTGCTTTGATGGGCGGGACATTCACTGACTGATGGTGCTGGTGTACTGTGCTGGACTGGACAACCAGCAGAAGGAATCTGGGTGACAACTGCAACACTGGCACCTGAGTCTGGTGCAACTGGTGCTGATGAAATACTACCCATCCCTATAATATTGAAAAAAAAAACACAGACCTTTCATAACAGCAGTGAAGAATATTTAACAGAGGGCAAATAATCCTTATTGGAGGGCACGCATACTGAAAAGTTGGAAGATTGAAGTCAATTTTGTAGGATGCCAGCATAGTTATCTTGTTCACGTGAAAGTTTCAGTTTAATAGAGGGGAAGGGTTTCTCAAGAAACTGAGGTGCTGCATTAGTGGAGGAAGGGGACGGTATTGAGTAAATAAACCTCTTTGGACAGCTTATATGTTGGCTGATAATGTCTGCAGCTAGGACTTTGTTACCTTTTGATAGTAATAATCAAGGGGAAAATATCAACATAGATGGGAGTTATTGCATAATAACTGTGGATTGCTTTTGCACTGCATGATGTAAAGAAGTCAATGAAGTGGCCGGAAAATTAACGAGTGGGTCACAAGACGAGATAATTTGGTTTTAACAACTGAGTTAACAATGTACACTGGCCTCAGCAAAGAGCTTCCAAAGCTGACATTTCAAACATAACCCCAAGGTAAACGCTTGAAACACCAGCTTTACAAACTCTCTATGGTGACCAATTTTCAGTATCAACTCAGCCGATAAAACCAACTTTTCCTGTAGGTTTCAGTCAGTTGTCTAGACGGAGGTGCAGTACAATGCAAGAATGATTAAGAACAATTAATAAAAAAAACCTAACAATTGATAAAAGCTAACAAGAGAATTCACAAGATCAAAACTGTTATAAAAACAAATCAAGATTTATATCATTACAGAGAAATAACCTTCGTTGAAACATAACTGTTCCTCTTTCGATATCACCAGTTCATTCTAATACGCAGGTTTTTTACGAAATTACAGTGAAATTCACTACTTTTCCGTGTGTTTCTTATCGAAATAATCTGGATTTGAATCGTATGCTTTCGCTTTAGGGCACATATCAGAAAAGAGACTTCGTTAATCGTTCAAATTTCCAGAGACCGAATGCAAAACAGACAAGTAAGAAATTGTAGTGATATCGACAATGTGCACGTAAGTTATGTCATTGTCATTGTCTTAGCCAGAGAACGCTTGCTTTAGTGTGTCTTATCGCTGCATAAATATTCTCTGTAACATAATTTATGAGAGATGACAATTCCTTACCTGCTTCGAAGCGAAACACAGCCTTTGCTCGTGGAAAACAACCCCAGTGAAAAGTGTTTGGTAGTTAGTTACGAACAGTTCTGTTACACAAACTCTTACCCAGTCCTTTCCGTTGATTGAGGACTGTAAGAAGAAGAAGGCGAGTGGGGATGGGGGATGCAAACACACAAATATAAATATTACACCATTGTCTTCTCAAAACCGTAACATGTGCTCCAAATGTTTCCTGTCACAATACTCACAGCTGATTATCATGGAACACCAACATGGCATGAAGTCGGTTACCATGACGATAAAGAAATTTGGTCAAGTGGGTCAAAACGCTCTCTAGGATTTTCGCCATTGGTGCCCGATTTGGGACTTTATCCACCAGTCAACAAAACTACTGGCCGATTTGCTGTTTTAGCCATTAGTCGCAGATTTGCCGTTTTGGCCACTAGTGGACAGATTTGCCGTTTTGGTTACTAGTTGCAGATTTGCCGTTTTGGCAACTAGTGGCAGGTTTGCCGTTTTGGCCACTAGTGGCAGATTTTTCGCTTTGGCCACTAGTAGCCAATTTGTCGTTTTGGCCACTAGTGGTAGATTTGCTGCCGGATGTTTCGCCACTAGTGGCAGATTTTCCGTTTCGGCCACGAGTGGCAGATTTCCCGTTTGGACGACTAGTGGCAGAATTGCAGTTTTGTCCACTAGTGGCAGATTTTCCGTTTTGGCCAGGAGTGGCAGATTTGCCGTTTGGGCCACTAGTGGCAGATTAGCCGTTTTTGCCAATAGTGGCAGATTTGATGTTTTGGCCACTAGTGGCAGATTAGCCGTTTTTGTCAATAGTGGCAGATTTGATGTTTTGGCCACTAGTGGCAGATTTGATGTTTTGGCCATTAGTGGCAGATTTGATGTTTTGGCCATTAGTGGCAGATTTGCAGTTTTGGCCACTAGAGGCAGATTTGCCGATTTGGCCACTAGTGGCAGATTTGCCGTTTTGGCCACTAGTGGCAGATTTGCCGTTTAGCCACTAGTGGGCAGATTTGGCGTTTTGGTTACTAGTGGCAGATTTGCCGTTTTGGCAACTAGTGGCAGGTTTGCCGTTTTGGCCACTAAAGGGAGATTTGCCGTTTTGGCCACTAGTGGCAGATTAGCCGTTTTTGCTAATAGTGGCAGATTTGATGTTTTGGCCACTAGTGGCAGATTTGCAGTTTTGGCTACTAGTGGCAGATTTGCCGGTTTGGCCACTAGTGGCAGATTTGCCGTTTAGGCCACTAGTGGGCAGATTTGCCATTTTGGTTACTAGTGGCAGATTTGCCGTTTTGGCAACTAGTGGTAGGTTTGCCGTTTTGGCCACTAAAGGGAGATTTGCCGTTTTGGCCACTAGTGGCAGATTTGCCGTTTTGGCAACTAGTGGCAGGTTTGCCGTTTTGGCCACTAAAGGGAGATTTGCCGTTTAGGCCACTAGTGGCAGATTCTCCGTTTTGGCCACTAGTGGCAGATTTGCCGTTTTGAGCACTAGTGGTAGATTTGCCGTTTTGGCCACTGGTGGCAGATTTGCCGTTTTTGTCACTGGTGGAAGATTTATATAGTTTTGGCCACTAGTTGGAGATTTGCTGTGTTTGCCACCAGTGGGAGACTTACCTTTTTGGCCACTAATAGCAGATTTGCCATTTTGGCCACTAAGAGCAGATTTGCCATTTTGGCCACTAACGGCAGGTTTGCTTTTTTGGCCATTGGTGGCAGATTTGCAGTTTTCGCCACTAGTGGCAGATTTGCAGTTTGGGCCATTAGTGGCAGATTTGCTGTTTTCGCCACTAGTGGCAAATTTATCGTTTTGGCCACTAGTGGCAGATTTGCCGTTTTTGCCACTACACTGGCAGATTTGCCTTTTTTGCTAATAGTGGCCGATTCGCCGCTTTGGTCACTTGTGGGAGATTTATTGTTTTGGCCACTTGTGGCCGATTTTTAATTCTTGCCACTAGTGGCAGCTTTGCCGTTTGGGCTTCTATTTGCAGATTTGCCGTTTTGGCCAGTAATGGCAGATTTGCCGTTTTGGCCACTAATGGCAANGATAATTTTTTCTATTCTTTGAAGGGCATTCAGTCATCAAATTGTAGAAAATAATATGGATATATCAACAAAGTTGAAGTGGTAAATTGGCCACTCTAACGATTACAAAAGCTGACGTTTCGAGCTCCGACGAAGGGCTAACGCTCGAAACGTCAGCTTTTGTAATCGTTACGGTGGCCAATTTACCACTTCAACTTTGTTGATATATCCATATTATTTTCTACAATTTGATGACTGAATGCCCTTCAAAGAATAGAAAAAATTATCCAAGAAAGGCTTTGAACCAAGAAATAACGAAACCCGGATTAAAATTTAACCTTAGGTTAGCGTTAATCAACCTTCGAACAATTGGGCCCGGGTTTTAAAAACTCAAGCATAGTGTAAACTTTACCCAAGGATAGTGCAAAGTCTCCATTCAGTTTTAAAGCTGTGTGAAGGGATTTCTCTTTTGTACTTTTCCCCGTTAGTTTCGTGTCATATCGAGAGAAGACCTAACAAAGCCTTAGTGCTTAGAGCACTCTTCTACATGGGAAATTAAAGTTAAGGTTAACTTCTAATCCTAGATGAACCGAAACCCCCTTTTGAAGAACCCGGCCCTGGCTACCAAGAAGGACGTTTGGTAAAATCTGACAAGGAAAAAAATTACAGAGGTATTTCTATATGTAATTACATTCTGAGTTCTTCTCATTCTGAGTTCTTCTCATTCTGAGTTTCTTTTCACGGATGGCTTTGTTATGTCACCTAAGCTTCTCATGGCAACCTAACATTTAAACGCTCGAGAAAGACATCTTGAACTTGTCGTTTTCATCGCAATAACTTGAAACCTGTTTTGTAACGTGGTTTTGGATTCTTTTCTATCTTTATCGATATCGGAAAAATCATTTTTTAAAATTTTACGAGACCTGACCTCACGGAACAGAGTCAAAGGTTCTTAAACGACATAAGAAATTCGGCGAAAACATCTTAACGAACTGAGACTTCCTTTCAGGTCTTTTCATCATTAACATGTGTCAGTTTGGTCGGCTTAGGCGTTCAGATGCCCTACGGATTATCCTCCTGTGTATTCCACCAATCACGAACTTCTCCAGCGAACTCTTTCACTTCAGTCAAACTTTTCTTTCGCGTCTTGGGATTAGCTAGAGTTTCGGGCAAACTCTTTCTTCGTTTCGATGACATCGGCACTTCTTCTGGAAACGTAACAGAATTCTTACGTGACGGAGAAATGCTGCGATCCGTTTTCATGACCGGAGGTGGGGCCGAAAGGAGAATCGCCGGGCCTTTCGAAGGAGATGACAACGATATATCGTCATCTTCACTGCTTTCGTGATCACGAATCTCGCGTTCTGTGTCACGGTCTTCTCGATCTTGGTCGTCATTTGCTGAGTGTTCCAAGCTCTCTACGCTCGAAGCTCCAGGACTTTTGTCAAACTGGACACCGCCAGCCAATGGGATTCCACCTTGCTCCAAATGTCGGATCCATTCCCGCTCGGCGCGCTTCTTACGAAGGTTGACGAACCAGTCACGGATTGTTTGTATAGCAACTTCTTCCTCGATTTGGTATTCTAATTCTTCTCGTTCGAGCAGCTCCTCAAGTTGCAAGCTGCGGCTGATGTCAACAGATCGATATGCTAGTACTCCTAAGACATCATGGAATGAAACGTCACAGCCATTGCGAAGCTTTTCAATCTCACAACACATGTGCTTGAACAAGAGCGAGCCAGTATCCACTTCTAAACGACCCTTGAGCAAGCGAAGAACAAGCTTAGCTTGTCGAACGGATAAAACTCCTTTACGACTCTTATCCACTAAGTTCCAAGTCAACTGGAAGTCCTTCAGATCTGTGTTGCTAATAAGAGAATCTTCGTCGCTGGAGTAGAAAAGCGAAAAATTCTCGATGATAACAGCGATGAAAAGGTTCAGGAAGACAAACGTTACGAAAATGTAAAACGAAATAAAGTAAATATGCGCTGCTGCACTGTTACCGCAGTCGCTTTGCCAGAAATTTAGCGTATCAGGCGTTCCCGCCGTGCAGTATGGTTCCGAAATCATACAGTCATGCATAATCTTATTCCAGTCCTCTCCAGTGGTTATTCGAAACAACAGAATCATTGCATTGAAACTTGACTTGAAGTTGGCATGGCGATTCAACGCCTCTCCGTATTTAACTGTGCCGAATAAGATGACACCAGCGAGCGAATAGCTTACCATAATTATGATAAGAACAGCAATTATGAAAAAACTCTTTACCAGCGACATGACAACGGTTAACATTAACATCTTGAGGGTGTCGTGTTTACCAGCAAGCGTCAAAAAACGAAACAGGATTATCACCATCCCAAACACAGTGGTCACTGTATACGGTGTACCCCTCTCTTTCAGTGAAAAATTCAGAGTTGCCCACAACACCCCAAGGCTCGTCAAGAACAGATCGAACCGGTTTCTCCGGCTTTGCCAGTATCCTTGAAAAGAAAAGGCGATAATTTTCAGTACCATGTCCACAACGAAGAGTATCGAACACGCAGCTGCTGTGCTGGTCAATCCGTCCCGCAGGCGCAGGTTGTCTTCAGTGGTCCACTGAGCAATCGTAACAGTCAAGCAGATTACAACCACCAGAGTGATTTCGAAAACTTTGTAGATTCTTGACTGTGTGGCGTCGAACAAAACAGTACGAATCCCCTCTTTTCTCGGCCTTGGCGCAATATGCAGAGGTTGTGCGAGTCGTAAGCGTTTCTTTAAGTCTTGCCAGCGACGCTGATCAACAGTAAGAAGCGCAATACCTTTGTTCTCGTTAAAATTCATAACAATTACTCCAACAAACAAAGTTAGTCCAATCATACTTCCAATGAGTACGTAAATGTGGACATACAGACTATACTCAGGAGACACTACTGCTTGGATCACATCTCGTACTTCCAGCCAGCCTTCCAAGGAAAGAACTTCAAACAAAGCTAGAAATGCGTTGACGACGTTATCAAAGTCAAAATTCCTGGGATTTTTCCACACGCGAGGGACAAGGATTTTAGACGCTCCTGGGAGGTCGCGCAGTTCACGAGGAGGGGCGATCTCTATCTCGAAGGTTCCACTGCAATCCTTTCGGGTGTTAATCGTGCGATCGTTGCAGCTACCAAACTTCAAAGCGAATACTTGGACACCATAGCTGGCAAAGATGAACATGAGTAGCAACTGTAGAGCGCTGACTTTAAGTATTTCTTTATAGCCACCAACCAGCTCAAGGATCACCTTTTGCATCTTAGGCACCAATGTGACGATGCGCAAAGGACGAAGGCACCTAAACACCATCAACACTTGAGCTCCGGAGCAGGCGGGTATCCGATGCGGTTGCCAGGCAACATAGGCAAGTGCCACGAGGTACGTAGTGACGTCAAGGACACCCCCAAAGTTCTGAATAACGGCATTGGGTGTGAAAATCAAACCGTTCGCAAGAATTCGAACGCCCAGTTCCAAACTCATAGCAATTACGAAAATGTATTCCACGACTTCTGTTGAAGAATTCACAAAGGTTCGCTGAGTCGGAGTCTCGAGCAACATAGCAACACAAGAGATTAGCGTGACAAGGATCATTATCCACTCCAGGTACGTCTGTGACGCTAAACATTTGTGAAGCCGTGCCATCGTGACGATGTGATTACGTGACGCCCGCTCCGTATAACCAGGAGGAATCATGAAACGCGCGCTCACTAAGCTCTGAAGAAATCTTCGGAACCATGAGTCACGCTGCAGTGAGAAGAGAGGCTGGTCAAAGTAGGGATGATTCTCGCGAAGCTTGTCAATTTGAGCTTTCTTTTTTCGCTGAACCTCTTCACGTCTGACCCGGACCCACTGAATATCGAAATCTCGCCCGATATTTGTGTCATCCTGGTTCAACTGGGCGTGCAGACCTGCAGCTTGGCTGGCCATTCTCATGACTTGGGGATTTCCTTGAGCTGGCTTCGGAGATGGGGGTGGGCGGCTTCGGAATCGCCTCGACGCAGATCGGAAAACCGACGTAGGCTGCTGCTTGTTGTTGTTGCTGCCTTGAATTGCAGCGCTCCTCGGCGAAATTTCGGTCGGTGAAAGCAGGGCGTAAGTCCTTCGGCGATTGGAATCGTTGATCAACGCAGTAATACTGGACTGCTTTCGGACAAACTTCGAAAGTTTATCCACCTCGGATACCGTCGAGTTTAATAGTTTTAGAGGAACTGCAGTTCGTCGCCTTCTCAGCTGTGAAGTTTCCCCGAGCTGCTTTCGGGGATCAACAGCTAGTGCTGTTTCCAAGCTGGTGCTGTCTATAAACTTCTTCATAAAACTGTCCCGAATCTTAGGCGTAGAAAAATCCGCGGACATTTTAATCCTACTCATTTTGACAAGACGCGGGTCATCTCGGAAACGTTCGAAGACCCGAAGACGAAGCGGAAGTACCTCGGTGGATTCTCGACTCTCTTGGCCTATTTTCTTCTGCTTCATGATCTTCACCTCTTCATCAAGTTCCAAGTTGTCCAGGATAACCGCAACAAACACGCTCATGATAATAAGCGATGAGAAGAGATGACATGCCAAGATGATTATCGCAACTAGAATCCTGGCAAAGGTGTTGGTGGTAGCATGTATAAGTCCATCTAAAACTTCCACCCACCCTTCCTGAGTGATGATTTGAAACATGGACTGGACTGACTTCATAAAGGTCCCGAAATTCTTGGGATCCAACGTCAGAAAGAACTGCATACTGATCACGGAGGAAACCATAACGAAAAGGAGTGTAAATATAATGGCCGCTCCGAGCTTTTTTCCAGTACCGAAGATTTTTTCACAGAACTCTTGCAAACTCGGTATTGCCCCGACAAGTCGAATTATCCTCATAACATTAAAGAACGCCAAGAAGGCAGCTTTCTCGGAGATCAGAAGTGGCAAAGCAAAAACGGTACTACCAATGGCTAATATAAACTCTGTCAATTGCATTCTACGAAGAAGGTAAGGCCGAAAACCCATACATGAGATCTTTAGGAGAACTTCCAAGTCAAAAAGTATGGTAAACCCGAACTGTGGGTATCTTCTCCGAGGAAAATTCACTGAGGTTGCTTGAACAATAGCGTCGACCACAACAAAGACGATCATTGTGTACTTAAAGTAATCAGAGTTAACTAATTGTCTAACAGGCAGTGGTGCGTGTCCTTTATGTGCTTCATGATCTAACGATACTAAATGCCAACCAGTTCCTCCGTCTTTGATAACTTGAGAAGCTAGTCGAGCCGAAGTACGTTTCGACGATTTCCGACTGTACATGTACAGGCTCCGAATATCGGCGAAGGTTTCCGAGACGACGGCAATGAAGACGTTTTTCACAAGCCAGGCAATGAAGAAAATAAGCAATACGAAATAAATATACACTAACGGACGCGATCGAAAGTCTGTCATTCTGTACATAACAAGGACCCAGCCTTCTTGAGTGGAACTTTCATACACGGTTAAAATACTGTGAAGAAAATCGCCGAAGTAATTTTTATCTCGTTTATCAAAATCGACAGAAACACAACTGAAATTTCCAGGACAGATATAGCCTCTTTCTCCGGTGTCATTACTGCATCGATGATCTGTCAATAAAAGATCATTATATGAAACGTTGTTCAAATCAGCACCGTTTTTAACACAGTAATAATTCTTTCGTCCAAATAATTGAACGCCGATGATGGAACCGAATGCCATGAAGTACAATAAAAATAACGTGACAGCCCAGATCTGTCGCTTACATCGGCGAGCCACTGACTTTGGCAAGCTTATTGTGATAAGTACATTGAAGAATCGAACTATAATAAGAGCTCTTGGAGCTCTTGGAATAGAAAATGCGATGTAATCTGCCGGATCGGGAGAATGGCCTGAGATTTCAATTACTTGAAATAAGATCGATAGTATTATGAGGAAAACCATACTCGCGTTAAATATGCACTGCGGTTTCTTGAAGTAGGCCTTCTGTTTTCTCCATAGACCCCACATGTTTATCTGGGCGATCATCTCGGTAATAAATACAGCTGCAACCACAATATCCAATACCAGAGTGATGTATTGAAGCGAAACGGAGTCTTTAAACGTCTCTGGCGAATTCATTGCTGTAGAAGTCAGGCTCGCTACAGCACATACTTGAACAAGACGCTGAAACCAGCGAGTTTTGACCCACCACGTTCGCGATAGTTCGTCCTCGTTTTCTTCGTCATCTGTTCCTACAGATTCTGCATAAAGTGCTTGGCGAGGAGGCCATAAAGTTTGCGACGATGAGTGTTGATCGGACTCGATTACTACAGACTGTCCTCTTGCTTCCATTTTCAAACGGAAATGAGATACAGTTTGTTTACAACACGAATGTTTCCGATCGTCAAGACGAAAAATTCTCGAATAACTACGAAGTTCTCCGATTTGACCAGAGATGATATTATAATGATTTTAGCTTAAAAATAAATACTTTTGTTTTAGATTAAATATCACTCATTATCAGCTCGTTATTTCCATCTAAATTATAGTATTTCTGAGTGAAACATAAACGAAACAATTTTTCAGCGATGAAGTATTGATTTTCTGTTGTTGCACGGCGATTGCGTGGGAATTGCACGACAAGGTTGCACCATACACACGATTGCTTAATAACGTATTTTAGAAAGCTTGTCTCCTCGCCAATTTGTAGTTGTACCTACTACTCAGTCACGAGAGGGTAACACCTTTGCAAAATGTGGAGTTCTAAAGCTAAACTAGCTCGACTTATTCCAACAAAATCTGCTTCAGTTGCAAGATTTTATTTACATCGCTCTTTGATGACTGCTTTTAGCGACCACAGCAAGTTTCTTTTCACTTCAGAGTCAGTTTGCCCGGGACATGCAGACAAAATGTGTGATCAGATTTCCGATGCAATTTTAGATGCCCATTTGGAAGAAGATCCGATGGCGAAAGTCGCTTGCGAAACTGCTTCAAAAACTGGTATGATTATGGCTTTTGGCGAGATTACATCTGGAGCGAGAGTCGACTATCAAAGTGTTATCCGAAATACTATAAAAGAAATTGGATATGATGACTCTTCTAAAGGCTTCGATTACAAAACGTGCAGCGTTTTGCTTTCCATCGAAGAGCAAGTTGGGGAAATCGCAAGAGTTGTACACTTGGACAAGAAGGAATTGGACATAGGTGCTGGAGATCAGGGCTTGATGTTTGGATATGCAACAGATGAAACAGAGGAACTTATGCCTTTAACAACTGTTCTGTCACACAAACTGGTGCAAAGACTAGTCGAATGTCGCAGGGACGGAACTTTGCCATGGCTCAGACCTGATGGTAAGACACAGGTTACTGTGGAATACAATATGAAAGATGGTGCTTGCATGCCTCAAAGGGTTCACACTGTTTTGATTTCAAGTCAACATGCACAAGGAATGTCTGCAGAGGAAATCCGGAACCATTTAAAGGAGACAATTGTGAAAGGTGTAATCCCAGAAAAATATCTTGATGAGCAAACAGTCTATCATCTGTTACCTGCAGGACAGTTTCTCTTTGGTGGTCCAATGGCTGATGGTGGCCTAACTGGCCGTAAAATTATTGTTGACACTTATGGGGGGTGGGGTGCTCATGGGGGTGGGGCATTTTCGGGTAAAGATGCAACAAAGGTGGACAGGTCAGGAAGTTATGCCTGTAGGTGGATTGCAAAGTCATTGGTTGCTGCAAAGCTTTGTAAGCGTGCACTAATACAGGTATCTTACTCAATTGGTATTCCAGAACCTTTGTCAGTATCTGTTTTCAGTTATGGAAGTGGTGAAATGTCAGATGATGAGCTTTTGCAAATCATTCAGAAAAATTTTGATCTTAGGCCGGGAGCAATCATTAGGGACTTAGACCTGCGCAAACCCATTTTTAAGGCAACAAGTGTTTGTGGTCATTTTAAGCCTGGATTCACTTGGGAAGTTCCCAAGAAGTTAGAGTTTTGAACTAGAAAAAATTCAAAGAATTGAAAAAACTAGCTAAACCTGAAGGAAAAAAGATAATGACAATAAACAAATTATTAGAAAATTGATATGGGATAATATAGTTTTATCCATTCCCAAGACATGTTTTGACCAGCGTTATATGATTACTGTAAGTAATAATGGAGAGAGAGAAAGATAGTTATTTAGTGTAGTGTAAGATCATAACGTTTTTATTATTTCCCTTATACGTGGTGCATGGGATGCGTGGGAGATATAGAGGTTTTGTGGCATGCGCCCTGGATACCTAACCAAATGGGATTAGCTGGATATGTGGTAGTTTCAACACTTTTAACCGTCATTAGTTACCTCACCTGACCTAGTCCAATTAAAAGCAAATATTTTCAATGTTACCTTGAGTTGTATCAGTACAGTATTTAGCAAGTTTTTTTTTTTTTATAAGAATACTAGGAAAATTATCTCTCATCTGTGAAAATACAGCACATCATGTGGTTACATGGTTTCTGATTTTGTTACTATGATGTTTAGTTACTTTATGCATTTGAAATGAAGTGAAACAACAACCAAAGTGATCTCACTTAATGCTGAAAAAATATATTGCTAACAGTCAAAGAGTCTTATAATTTTTCTTCACTCTTTACTGTAGTTCTGCAACCAAATCTCAGATGTATCTAGAGATGTAATTAAAAAGATAATGTAATTGAGCTGGAAAATATTTTCATTACCCACTACTTGTAAAGTGATTGTGCTACAATTATTTTTGTAACATCAAGCAAGGTAGACTAGGTCACCCTTTGATTTAATGTATGGTATTTTTACCAGCAGGCCTAAACACTTTAAAATGTAACTAAATAAATATAAAATCTGTATGTCTGGGGTTTGATTCCTTAAGGGGGACTTAGATTTTTCTCCTTGCCCTGTGTGGATAACAAAACAAATACCCTTCTTCGTATTATAATTTTTTTTTTTTTGCAGGAGTGCTGCTTGAAACTTTTCTAACTAGGGAATCTAGTGGAAAATAGTCTGTGTTCTAGATGATAGGATCATCAGAGTGGACTTGGTGAAAACTCAAAGCTTGATTGGCATTTTAGAATTGAAACCCTTTCAAAACTATAGCATTATTTTAATTTTTTTACAATGAAAAGATTGAAGGATTATACACATATCAGGAGGAACTCGAAAAAAAAACTTTGCCTTGAGAAGTAAAATTCATCACAGAATGACATCTTCTTTATACCCACTTGTGTATAAACTTCAAATGATGCCCATGTGCTGAAATTATTTTTTCGTAATGGAATTCTATGTTGTCAGTCTTTGGTTGATCTTGCGTTACCTCATCAGTTAATTTTAAAACTTCCGGTGAAGTGTTCCCTTCCGATATTTTACATTTCCGGTCAGCAGTCAAACTTGTCACGCATGCCTACTTACGTGATATATGTTATGACCTTGGAAGAGAGTACAAGCGAAGTCATCATTTCCTGACAGGGAAGCGACGAAATTAGTACCATGGTTTCCTGTTTTCTCAGAAACAGTTGCTAATGCAGGAAGATAATTCTTCAGCGAAAAAAAACACCAAAGTTCTCAGGGAAAATGGAGAGAGATAGGTGGTTTTGTGGGCATTGTCAGGGGTATTCGTTTCGAAGTGCCTTATACTACAACATGGACTTAACAAATTTTTTACAACAGCGCTAACTTTAACTTACATTAACGGCAAGCTTCGAGCGTCAAAATCTAACAAAAATGCTGCATGTGTTTTATGTCGACCTGGGGAGTACGTACAGTTTTGAAATGGAGCTGGCGATGGAAAGGTAATAGTGAGTTTCATGTTGTTCAACTGGTGTGGAAGACTTTGTACTTGACTTATTTTAAGTCACTTACGTGCTCATCCAATCGTGACTAAACAGTTTTGAACAAAACCTATGACGAAGTGATATTTAACCATCTTTTTATCTGTCTGTTTGGACAGTCTTAGAGCTGACTGAAGTAGTTCATGTCCCGTTTGTACAATATGTCATATTTCAATAATGCCATGAGTGGACAACGTGTAGATGAATAATTTAAGTGTTATGTTTGTTTGCTTTAAGTTTACATCCAGTACACAGTAAAATCTGGATTTACAGATACAATAATCAATGATATAAAATGCATTTTTGAGTCAAAATATTTCTGTTCAAAGATCATACTGAAAGAGGAATTTGAAAAACTTGCCAAGGTCAGATCTGAAAATAGAACCTGAAAAAGGCATAATATAAATGTGTATGACAATACTGCTGGCCGCAGTGATTGACTATGGTATTAAACACATGTTTTTTTCAATCCAACATGGTATTTGTGTGCTGATGTGTATCATGGCGTCAAATTGGTGGGATTTTGAGGGCTTCCAAATGAAATCTTTCATGAAGATTCGGCAGAAGGATATGCTATCTTGTCATACACAACAAAATTTTGATATGTTCACTGGGAGTTAGTATTAGAGAGAACACTGAATAGATACTATATGAATAGATACTATATGAATAGATACTATATGAGCAATTGACATTAGAAAAAATATTAGCCTTTGATTTCCTAAGATGCCTTTCAGTGTTTTAAACCAACTGTCAAAGTTCTACAGAAATCTTGATTCCTTATGACAATTGGTCACTCTGATTTTAACCAAATAGTTTGGACAAAGAACCTTAAGAAGTTGGGTTTATTCAGTCTATTCAGGCTGGAGATCCTTCATCTTCATAGCAGAAGAACTGGGGTACTGTGAGTAGTTTCAAACTTGAGAAATAAATGAAACCTAAAACACCTGTCTCAAAGGGAATAGTAACTTTCCCAGTTCCTTCATTTACACAAGGCTAAGATGTTGTTACTTTTAAACAGTGTTCAGGTGCTGATGAGTACACTGGCTGTTGAAACGGGTATCCCAGAGGACAAGCAAGTCTTGTTGATATCAAATGGTGAAGCATTGGATCCCAGAGAAAGAGTCTGCAGTTATAACAGTGCTGGCACTGTAAGTAGTGTATTCTGATTGTAGATAGGATAGGATAGGATAACTTTATTTATACACGGTTTTTCCATCAGTTGATTTAGTTAATTCTATACTAGAAACCTATCTATCTAACTATAATTACAATAATTTGATAATAACAATTCAAATAAAAGAAATAAATAAAAAATTCTGCTTTTCATGGACGCCGTGTCTAAAATTTACATAGAATTAAGATCTTACTTTAAACTGTGGCGACTTAATTTACATTTGAAATCAGTCAGCGAAGACGCTTGTCTTGGGTCTACAGGTAAGTTGTTCCACAATTGAGCTCCACTGTACAAAAAACTTCTCTTGAGATAGTCAGTTCGAGGTTGGGGAAGAACTAATTTGTTTTCTGTATTTCTTAAACTTCAGTATTCCTTAGATTTACCTTTTCAGAACTGATGCTCAGCTTGCAGCTAGTGAATTTAATTACTTACTTTGCAAGGATTTAGGGGGCCTATACATAGACTAAGAACTAGACTACAAAATGTTGAATATTATAGGATATTCTAATCTGTTCTGTATCTAGGATGTTCTAACACAAGGTTTCTGTTTCAGGATACCAATCCAATATTTTTGTTCAGCAAATCCACCATTGAGTCCTCCATTCCACCATCTCCCAGTCTAAACTTAGGTTCAGGTAAGTATTGAATCTGTTATCAATTATTTGCAGGCTGTAATTAAACCCTTTCACACCTATAATCTCTTTAGAAATGTTCCTTACTGTCTGTCATACAATTCTTATTAGGTCAGTGTGGAGAACTTGGTGTTGGATCAACCAATGATCTGATTTATATTCTCATCTCTTGTCTGCTTGATATTGTATTGATACTGTGAGGAAAAATTCTGTCTTGGGAACTCATGGGAGATGAAGAGTTAATTTGTGTCCTCATCAAAAATGCTATTAGGGGGGTAGGGAAGCGGGCATTAGATATATTTTGTTATTATCTGTGGTAATAATTATAGACTGATATTATATTGATTAAATTTTTTTTGCAGAAGCAAATTTGAAGGAGCAAGTAGAAAAATCTTTGAATTTACCACCCACATATGAAACTCTTGTATCCAGAGCTCAGCTAGCATCTGTATGTTTGTTTATTATTTTATAAGAAATAGCAACTTAAAACCATTCAGCAGATATCTTGTAGTGAGCAAATAACAGCCTATGTTCTTAGCAGGCTCTTTTATGAATTAAAACAGGCACTAGTGGGAGCTGTGTCAAGATATTTGGTTCTAAAAATATGTTGTTCTTTTTAATGGTACCCAATCTGGTTTGACCAAATATTTTTATATTTGTATGTGTATTACTCTTACTTATTATTAATTTATTAGACTTGTATATACATTGTCTTTTGTTTATTTTAGGAATTCTACTCGCTTTCCGTCCAAATTGCAGAGAGCTGTGAAAATCTAGTGTGTGAGCAAAAGCTCCAACAGAAGGGATGGTCAGCAGTTGTTGCCAATTTGGAAAGCATTGCAAGGTATTATTCAAAACAGAAAAAAATCCTTCCAAACACCGACATTAAATTTTGAAGCATCTATATGATTGTATGTGTTGAAATGGATTTCAGGTCAATATACCATAGCTTTAAACTAGTTTGACTTTTATTTCCCTTTGTTTCAGTTACATTATAGTAATAATCCTTGACCAAAGAAAAACACTATTGAAACAAGCTTGAATTGATTTTGACATGAAACCTGTGTCCTCAGGAAGCAAAATGGGATCCCTTAGAAGAAGCTAGGACTTTTTGGGAATGTGTGAATAAAATTCTGTCTAATAGTAACTATTAGTAAGAATTTTAGAACATCATATTGTTAAGTACAAGTATGCACTAAAAGTACATTGGCTGAACTGATTTTGATAATTTTATTTGATACTTTCTTCTTATTTCATAACTTGAATATTTGTCTTGCCTTTTTCTCTTTTTCATAAATTATTGTACCAGTGAGTTTAAAGTCAGATCAAGTAGTGTTCATCAAATCTACTCAGAGTTTCTGGATTCAAGGACAAGATATATTGAGTTACTTGATAGGTATGTAAAGCAGCTTTTTTTTAACATGAACAATTTGTCTTCTACTCCAACATAAGAAAGCTGAGGACTGCTAATGTTTTTGTAGGTTCAAAGACATCTTGCCTCTACTAGCCAAGGTACCTGTTCTTCCATGTCTCATTTCAAGACAGCTTTCCCAAGTTAGACAACAGGATATAGTTAGTCTACTGGACTGGATAAGTGCACAGGTAATTAAAGCTGTTTCAAGCCCATTTAGTAAAGAGATTTTTTTTAATATGATTTGTAAGTGGAACAAAGCAAAATGAAAACAAACAAACAAACCTCTCTTTACTGGTAGGACAACAAGAACAGTCTCCAGGACATGGTCAAACAGTGTATTGAGGCAGTGGAGCAGTTTGACGAATCACATCTTACTGAAATTACTACAGAAGTAAATCAGGTTTTAGGTAAGAATAAACCACTCATGTTAGTACTTCCTGGTTGGAAATGATTCATTTCCTTCTCCTTTACTTGAGAAGATGAAGTTGCCCAATGGCTTTGAGGTGGTAGACTCCTGGTTGAAAAGTGTGAGTGCAATGGATGGCTAGGCTAGGGTGTAGTGTTCTTAGCCAGGATACTTTACTCCTAAACATCAGTGTGTATATTCTCCATGCTGTTCTCTGTTCTCTGTACATTTCGTATCAGTGATAATAACAAGGAGAATACTTTTAATGATCAGGAACTTCCTAAGCTGGCAGTCATTTCCTCTCTTTTTTGACCTAAATGTTTGATTCAGTGGAGATACTGTGAGGTATCAACCGCCTCCCAGTTAGCTCAATTGGTTAGAGTGCTGGATTGTGTTGTGCAGGAGGTCAAGGGTTCGAGCCCCGGCCAGACCAATACTCATGGTCTTAAAATAACTGAGGAGAATTTGCTACCTTTCTATGATATCAAGAAATGGATAGATATTCTAGTCTTCTTGGATAAGGATGAATAAACCTTAGGCCCTGTCTCCTGCAGGGTTAGGGGTAGGAGACGTTAATTTCTCACGCACGAGATTACTGTGTGGTAGATGTCCTCCACTGGGAGGGGGGATGGGTGGGTTTACTGGGCCCTCAGTAATTGGTGCAAGCTGTTGTGGTGTCCCTGCCTGTTGGCGAAGCTAATAAACTAAACTAAACTAGGTGAGATCAGACTATAGTCACACTTAGGGGTTAACAGGTTGAAGTGCTTCACATCCCTCAGGAGTATATGGAATATATTAAGGATTTTGTCAGGTTAATGTGATAAAATGCCCAGGGGTAACCTTGGGATGGACTTTAATCATGTCCAGGAGGGAATCTCAGTACTTAAAGTAACTTCATGGTGCTGAAAAAGGGAAAAGCTCCAGCAGGATTGGCCTTCCGATTCAGAATGGGCCCCAGGGCTTTAACTAAGCGCATCACTGTGTATTTTGAGTTTGGTTTGGAGAATGCAAGGTTTCAACAGCTCCAGGATTCCCTTTTGATTTCAACAGACATAATCTCATCCCCTTTCTTTCTAAACTTTCTCCAAATCAAAACAGAGTCTCTTGATAATACGAATATGAAAGAAATCAAAGGATTGGATGAAAGACTAGCTGGACTTCAACACATTCTTCAGAATGTGCAAAATTTCTGTCAGTCCCAAGCAGACATGTCACAGGGTCTTCAACAGAATGTGACAAGTGTTCAAAATGTTGGCCGCGACCGTTCAGTTCTTTCTGATTTATGTGCCAGTCACCAAAAACAGCTTTTGATGATGACTAAGAATCACTCACACTTGAGGTTTGTAGAATTGTCCTAAATTAATGTTTTAAGCTGTTTTTCCATCAGGATTATCATTTACATACATGCATGTAAGGAAAGAAGAAATTTTATGTAGTAAGCTCGGCTAGTTTTAAAAAGAAGAGTTAGGTTTGTCTGTTTTACTTAATCTGTAAAAGCTTTTGAAACTGTTATTGAAACTTATGAGTGAAACAGTCTGTTTAATAAATGGTGCAGGGATGTTTAAAAGAAGGCAGTATTAGGGATGCATTGCAAAAGACCTATCAGGTAGATATGTGGTGTGGAATAGAAAAGGCGACTCAGGTAGAATGTGGTTATGGTTTGTCTTTGTCTTGTTATTGTTTAGTTCCCTTTAAATCAATGGAACAATCTGTATTTTTCCCCCAATTCTAGATAAAATAATTTGTGATTTTAAGGGGCTCTTTCAACAATCATTCATCAAAGTCAAAATGAGATCCTTAGGTGGATTAAAAAGGGAAAATGATGCCGTTCCTGGCCAGCCATGATGTGCACATCTTTACAGTCAGTTGAACAATTACACTGTATTAAATTATGATTTTATTTTATTAGTAAGAGTATCATTTTTTGTTTAATTCAATTCAGGGATATCAGGAAAAAATGTGCAAGAGCTAAGGATGAGTTATCTGCTAATCTCCACACCAGATTAAGGTACATGGTCCTCGGATGAAAAAACATAAAATTGAAAAATATTTGTTTCTAATTGCAGGGCTGGATATTAAAACAAAGCTCAGCCATTATACTTACTGACATGGAGTGTTATTTTGAATTTTTGTTTTTTGACAGGGAAGAGATAAGATAAGACCTTTATTTAAACATGATAATAATTAAAGCTAACAGCTTGAGGGGTCTTGTATTTAGTTTATGCATTATTTAAATATGAAGACTAGCTAAATAAGTAAAAGGCTAACACTAACATATTAATCAAAAGTAGAGAAAGTCATCATTTTTATGGAGAGGGGG